ACGGAAGAAATATTAGAAAGTGCATGTGTTGAACTACTTTATTTCTTTTGTATTTTTAATTTTATAATTGAAAACAATAGTAAGATTTGGTAAATAAAATTATACTAAAATTTGAGATTTGACTCGATTTTAATTTCAACCGGAACTGAACCGAATTTTTTAGATGAACCGAAACCGAATCTGGAACGATAAACATTTACTTGGAACGTAACCGTTAACCAGAAAGAAACTAATTTCGGTTTGACTCTCTGGTAATAAGTAGTATGTCCTATATTTCTAATAGCACTTAAGTGGAACTGGCACAATCCAAGTAGAGTGGAGATGTGTAAGAAGAAGTAGTATCCACTTGTTGACTTTTTGGTGATGTCTTACAAATAGCTATTATCAATCACACCGTGTATCTGTCATCATTGTACATAATATATCGTCTTCTTAAGAACAATTAAAATACGATTTTTTTTTAAAGCGGAATTACTGCTTTAATGTGTTATTATATATAAAATACATGATTACATAATATTTTTAATATCTCATATCATGTTTTCTACAAGTGTTATTGCAAATCTGGGGAAATCCTACAATTAAAGCATTTTTGTCATTGATAATCTTCAGAACAGCACCGTATTGAGAGATATGCTGAAAATAAATCAGTGTAATCATATTTTAAGAAAAGTAATAAAAATTGAAAACGATGTGATATTTAGTGTCAATATTGATTCTAATAATACGAGTATGCATGAAATAATATATATAAGGATTGACAATAATATTAGCGTATACAAAAACATTACAGTAAAAAAGAATTAAAGAAAGAAAAATTTATAATAACTTGTGGAATATTCCGAAGAACGGTTACACATTAAATCGCACTCAACAGCCGTCTTTAGCCCCTAAATATTTGGGCAGGATCATAAAACTTTTCTCCCAGCAGCCCCTCTTTGAAATGAACACATTTTTGTATTATATAATTTAGTCTTAGTCAAGGGATCGAACTGAGAGGAAGTCTTAGTAAGAGGGTCCAACGAAGAACTTAATCTTACTTGCGAGAGTCCAAGGAAGAGCACTTCATAAATACTTACTTAAGAGGAGAATGTAACTCTTAGTAATAATCCACTGAGATCAACTATTGTATAGTTGACTTCTCAATAAAAACTCCGATGTGTATAATAAAGTAATTAAGAATATTGCATTTAATATTCATAAACCCCTCTAAGACTCCATAACTACGAGATAATCCACGGGTCCATGGATTTCTTAATCCCAGGACACGACAATATTATCGGCATTAAAATGAATTTCATATTTTTTTGTTCGTTAGAAGTAAAAAGAATTTCAGTTGCAATATAGGTTTAGTCTTCAGTTTCATCTTATTTTTTTCATTTCTAAAACGTACGTATTTATAATCTGCTGAAAATAATTTATAGTCGAAATAACTACTTCACAAACTTTCAACACTTTCATCCAAAGTAGAATAATAAACCAAGAAAAAATAAAGCTAAACGTAGCTAGAAATATCGGGTATATCTGCAACCATGGTCTAAGATTGTATGCTTGCTTATAATGCACCCAGTGTGTAAGTACTATATTATACTTAGGACATTATTTTTATGGAAAAAAATATGGTATCGGTTAGCAGAATTAAAAATTTACAAAATTACATGATACATGATTTATATAATATATTAATTAATATTTCACTAAATCCTTTTTAAAAAACATTATAAAATAAATATTTAATGATATGTAAAAATACACTATTGATCAACAATATATTTTTTGTGCACACTAGAAATTTGTACCGTACTGAGCTTTTTTTTACTATGAAAAAAAAAATGATTGCAAATCGACGAGGAAAATAACATGTTTACTTTATGAATTTAACTTTTTTTATATAGACACTCATATCATGTTTTCTACAAGTGTTATTTTAAACCTGGGGAAAAAGAAATATGGTATCGGTTAGCAGGATTAAAAATTTAGAATTATGAGTTCCACGGGATTCAATATTTTGAGTTTAGTGGTCTGTGAGGTCAAATAGGTTGGCGACCGCTGCCCTAGAAGATATATATGATTTATACAATGTATATATATATGGCGAAAACCAAATTTCAAATTAGTAATTTACGTTTGCGACGATGTGGTTATTATTAACGGTCATCGTAGAATTGATTGTGTTCATCAACGCAAAATGCGACATATGCATAGAACACGACCTGCATAAACAATCGCCTATAATCGTGCACCCAGACTCGAACAATCTTATCAACCCTAACAAAGGAATTATATCGTTGAGAGAGAACCAACAAGTTTTATTGGCATGTCCTGAAGGTGAAATGACTATAAATGGTATTAATAATATGGAATCAGAGATAATAGTTACCTGTTCGTTGGGAGAAATCAAACATTTAGAAGAAATTGTTAAAATTTTTGAAATCTCATGTAGTCCAGAAGCTAAGGCAACGGCTCGGTATACAAATAATGTTTGTCTGCAAAGATACAAAGAGATCGAGGTAGGTTTCCTGCTGCTTTCTAGATTTATTCGTATTATGAAGATCTGCTTCGACGACATCAATTTGACTACTATTTACACGGAAAATAACTTGCTTCATGAAATAAGCGAATCTAGAAGTTTCAAGACTGTTATTTAATGAAGGTCCTTTCTTTACTTTGCCAGTGCCACTTGAAATTATCTACGGCAAATATATGCAGAGGAGGACCATTAATAACATTATAGGATTGCCGGAGAATTCCATAGAATACATAAAGAATTCAAAAAATTATTACTTGACTAAGGGTCAGTTATCTGCAAAATTGGATTATGTATATGCTACGGAACAACTCGGTACCTTCCAATATGTGAATGCTTTGCCGCAATGGCAAACTTTGTGCATCGGAAATTGGAACGCTCTCGAGAAAAGTCTTAGGGATTACGTAACCAGCACTATGCAAGGCCTGTTCGTTTATAGTGGCGGGTTTGGAGTGATGAAATTACCACATAATGCAGATGGAATTCCGAAAGATATCTATTTGTATAATAGACAAATCCCGGTTCCAAAATATTTGTGGAAAGTAATCCACAATCCAGTTACAAAATACTCTGTAGCCTTTATACTTTTGAACAATCCATACAGCAGTGCAACGCCTGAGATAACTTGTCCAAATGTATGCAATACTATTGATTGGCTTCATTGGGATCCAACTAATCAAGAAAGAGGAATAGCAACGTGCTGTGAAGTAAATGAAGCGAGAAAAATTATTAGCAATATTCCTTCTTTCTAAAGTCTTTCTTTTATTAGTACATTAAATATTGCCTTATTGTGAAAAATATTTAATTGTTAGTACTGCGGTCTATAATTTTATGTGGATGTATTTGTATACCAATTTGTTTATAAATTTATTACTTTATTTACAGCAGTTTTTAATATTTCACTAAATCCTTTTTAAACAACATTATTTCATGTTTATTGTTTTTGATTTCATACTTCAAAATTATTGTGTCTACGTCCGAAATTAACATTTAATAATATGTAAAAATACACTATTGATCAAAAATATATTTTTTTTTTGCATATTAGAAATTTGTACCATACTGAGTTTTTTATACGGTGGCAATCGCAAGCCCGACATTCGAAATCCCGACTGTATCGAAATCCTGACAACCATAATCCTTACTGTATCAAAATCCCGACTATATCGAAAATAACATTTTTAAATTATTCCGGAATTGTTATTAATAATAAATAATAACAATTAATAATCTAATTGTGTTTGAGATTATTTCATATTGTTAAGGTTTATTATGAATAATTCAAAAAATCAAATAAATGAATAGTAATTTATTGTTATTAATAATAAAACTGTAGCACAAGGTGACTACGCTCAAAAATAATTTTAAAATGTTATTGTAAAAATTTTCGATATAGTCGGGATTTCGATACAGTCGGGATTTCGATAGACGGTATTTCGGTTGACCGGTTTGTAATATAGACCCTTTTTTACTATGAAAAAAAAAAATTGATTTCGAATCGACGAGGAAAATAACATGTTTACTTTATGAATTTGACCTTTTTTATATATATATACAACTATTTATACAAAATTGTATGCGCAGTCATGTAATCTTCTTAGCGAGAAGCCAATAGTCTTTTCCAGTCGGAGCGTCATGTTTTTGATTAAGCTTTGACTTAAATTATCGAAACGGTTTAGATACTGACAGAGTACGTCAAATTGCTCCGTCCGCAAATGGTTAAGAATATGCTCATTGGCCAATATAATTACCAAAATTACTTGATAACAAATACAGGTAATTTGACTAAAAATTAAGAAAAACCCAATTAAAATTTCCGCTTCATAGTGAGACAGAAATAAACTTCTTCTGCTGTGGCAATATATACAACATTTTGAACAAGACAGATAAGACATAAGATTTGATTTCTATATGCGTGCATGTACCACATTTCAATTCTGGTCTGAATGTTTAAAATAAGTGTTTTAGCTCGGTCGGTTATATTAAGAATTCAGAATTGTTTTTTAATTTTTTTCCGTATTTGTTAATTATTCTGTTTGAATGAATTTTGCTTTTATTTTACTATTCGGAGTACCTTCCATACTTGTGTCATGTGCTTTCTCTATTGGCATTTGATGATAATAGTTTTTATTTTACTCTCTAAAAAATAATTTAACGTATTAATTTGACATCTAGACTAATTTCTATCTAGATGTCAATTGAGACGTTAAATAAGATTTGTCAAAATACAACCGTCTGATGTCGTACGCTCCAAGGGATATTTATACATTAGTTTGTTAAATAATTTGATTATCGAATGCACGTTAAAACTATTCGATAAGTGAGCATGGCTATAAACTACTACTGTGGACTGGATAGGGTTTTATATTTTTTTACAACTATTTTTAAAGGTAAGTGTGAATGGCAGACATTGTAATTAATTTTGTATTTTATTTTTTTGAAATTTTAAAATATTAAAGCAATATTTATTTATATTTTGTATTTTCATGTTCGATTTCGATCGTCACTAAAATAAAATTAAGCATGCAATAGTTTCCATTGTTAGTCTAAAAGATCATTTAGCCTTTTTGGATTTGCGTCTGAGATTTTCGGCGTTGTGGTTGCAGAAGCTGTTGAAAAGCTTGTCGAGATCCGGATTCTTGTTTGGCGTGGAGTTATTGGTGGTGTTGGCGGCGCTGCCCTGGCTCGAAGGTCCGGCGTTTCTCCGCGGAGGGCTGCTGTTCTGCTTGCCCAGGGCAATTCGATATTGGACGTTGTGCGTGTCCGGCTTAAGATGCTTCAAGCTGTCCTTCTGGCAGGCTGCCCACTCGGTGATGTCGTAGACTCCGCCATCCATACAGGCATAATAATGCCAAAGGAAGCCGAAACAGCGGGCCTCCGCCCAGATGTCTCCTTCCTTGGCAGAGTGATGGATCTTGCAGGTCGCGCAATTCCTGGCCGCATAGCAGGGTCTATCAACTTTGATCCTCTTGTGTCTAAGACCGCACGCGCTGCATCGGATCGTGTTCGCAGCAGCTTCAACCTTCTGCTGAAGCTGCACCAATAGTTCGGTTAGTTCCGTCATCGCCTGTTTGGCATGGGCGGACTCTGCGACGCCTCTGTCGTAGGCAGCTCTGCGCTCCGGTTCACCGATCATGTCGAAAGCATGTACCAATATTTTGAAAGCCTCTTCTGCGCCCGGCTGCTGGTTCTTATCCGGATGCACCAATTTGGCTTGCTTTTTGTAGTAATTCTTGATGTCAGCGTCAGTGCACATAGGAGTCACTCCCAAAATACTGTATGGATCCTTTCCTTTGCACGCCAATAACCTTTTCATGGCTTCTTCCCCGGTAGTTGGCATATTTATGTTATTGTGTAAACCGGGATGAACGAACCCAGCCTTCTTCTCAGGCTCTTTCTCCTTTTTAAACTTGTCATAAAACCAAGTGAACACCTTCATACGTTTCGCGATCAATACACTGGTTTCCAAGAATAATGCCCAATGAATTACAAGCCAAATATATAAATTGCTACCCCTAAAAAACAAGTAGTTTAGAACCATTCAAAATACAAACATTTATTGACTTACCAGTGTTGAATCAAATGGGAGCTGAGACTCAATATATCAGATATCAAATGTAACAACCAAAAGAGAAATTTCACTATATATTTCCACCAACCAAGATACTCTTTCAGTTTCAACCCAATAATACCTACAAACAAATAAATATTATTAGTAATTATTTGTAACAATAAAGAAACTTCAAAGCGTGATTTTTCATTAATTAATAATAATTTAAAATAAGTTAAATTATAAAATGTAAGTTTTATAATATTTACGTTTATTACAAGTTGTACAAAAATAAATACTGTGCAACCTTATTTTAAATAACTTAACTATATCTATTAAAAAAACGCAATTAAGTAACAATTATATATAAAATCTAACGATAGTTGCCTTGCTTTTTACAGCAACTAATTTAAGTTAAAATAAAGATGATTAACTTTTATTTTAGATAAACATGTTTCGATTTGTTGAACCCATTTAAAATTTAATTTGAAATCCAAATTATTATTTGTAGTTGTATATGAAGTAAAATATGTTTTAATTTAATTTGAAAACAATAACGGGCAGAAAGACCAAATGCATTTAGAATTGTTGTTTTTCTTTTGTCTTTATAATTATTATTGTAACGATTATACGATATCTGATCAATAAATTAATGTTATTAGGAAATATTCATTTCAATTTGGAGTATTTTGTAATGCGCTAATTAAAAATAAGCAGATAAAATATAGAAAAATAATGATTTCAATGCTGGAATATGTTTTCAAATGTAAAAAATATATCAAAACTATTTTTAAAACATTATCAATTCTTCACTATCTAAAAAATATATTTATCATGTCTGCTTTTTTTTGCATGTATATTTCGTTAATAATAATTGACTTTTAGAAAACTTTAACAGTTATTTCAAATAATCATAAATAATACTTACCAAATGGCACTGGATTATCTTTCTTTCTATTCCTCTGAGACCTCTTACCAGGTGGTTTCTCATTACTTCCATAATTATTCTCATATCCTCTTTGTTTATTTCCACCTTTGTTTCCTCTCTTAGTTGAAGATTTGTTATTATTAACAGTGTCCCCCTTACTATTTCCAGATTCAATTTCAGTATTATCATTTTTACTAACTTTCCTTGGATTCAATTTAGCAGAAGCGCTCTTGTTGATATTCTCCTGTGGTTTCTTGGGTTTTTTGTTCTCAGTAAAATCAGTTTTGAAATCATTGCTTGTGTCTTGTGTCACATTATCCAATGATGCCCATTTCCTATTTAGATTGCAATTCTTCACATCCTTGTTTTTCTCAGAATTTTTAGATAATGTAGCAGCCTTATCAGCGGTAATATCTTTGATCTCATTAGTTGTATTTGAGCGACTCAGAGTGGCCGAAGTCTTCTGCTTCTCATTCTTGGTGTTCTTCTTAATATCCTTCTTTTGTCTGGTTTCCTTGCCCTCTGTTTTATTCAATTTAACGTTAGTCTGAGGGGCACTTTTCAGGAGCACATCAGAATAACTTGGCCTCATCGGCTTAACCTCTGCTACAATTCTAGGTTTCTTGGTGTCCCTATTGAATTGAAAGCTTGGCTGCTCATCCAAGCTGAATTTTGGTGGCTCATCAATGACTTGTCGAATTAAATTTCTGCTTGGGAATTCTGGAGGCTGCGGCTCAAATATGTGATTAGCATTGAATGATGGTACATTACCAAATGGTGAATAGGTTCCACTAGTGTTTGGAGTCCAATTTCCAAAGAGATTGTCTATCAATGGTGATCTATCAGCGCTAATTGGATTTGACACTGCCACTGAAACTGCATTATCATTGAAATTGTCAATGCTGTTCTTGTGGGCAAGGAACAGCTTATAGTCTGGTTGATATTGAACATCTTGATGGCTTGGATATGCTAGATTGGGTGGCTCAAAGGTGTCTTGGTTGAAGAAGTTTGATTGTGACATGTAGTTATATGAGACTGGCTGTTGAGGGAATTGCTCCATTGGTTGATACGAAGGCATTGAGTGCTCAGCTGGGCGCATATTGAATGGTGGTATGAAAGATGTTTGAGGCATGGAATTCCAAGGTTCCTGCGGTGTAGCTGGTGGAGTGAAGCCAAGCTGTATGTATTGGCCATCAGCATTCTGAATATCAGAAGTCATGTTCCTCATGATTTGCTCTACAGCTCCATTGGAAGTCTTCCTGCTGGAATCACTCATTCTTAATGATGTATTTTGCTTTTTTATGGTTACTTGATAAAGCAGACAGATAATATTCAATAAAATGGCGATCTCTTCTTCTATTAAATAAAATTATTTAAAACCATAGTAGCTCTCTGCTTTTTGGCACGTATCAATAAAAATACACTAAAGAAAAGAATTAAAACTTATTTCAACATTATTTTTGACAAGCTGTCATTTGTCAAAAACGTTTTTTCTTTTATAATTGACGCACCACGCTGCAACTTGCAGATTCCTATTTTATCATCGTAAATAAATATTTTTATGTATACAAGAAAAATAAATTATTTAACATCATTGCTTTATATCATTGAAATTGCAAAATAAAACCAAATTTGTTAAAAATACAAAGCAGCGTAGTAAAAAAACGGTTTAACTTTAAATAAACACGTCTTTCTTTTACATTTATATTACAGCTTTTCGCCACTTGATGGCGCACGATGTTCAAAATTCAGTAAATTATTGTTTTGAACTTATCTGCAAATCTCTATTACCAAATTATTTATCCTATATGTAAAGATTTAACATTATTTGAAATTAAATCCACTTCAGCACGTTTTTAATAATGCTTTTGAAAGAAATTAAAAGTAAAATTGGAAATGCCAGAGCGTTATTTTTTAGGAAACAATTTCTATAAAAAATTTTGATATTTGTATGTAACTTAATAAAAATAAAATAATAATTTTCTTTAACTGAATTTCGAAAAATTTCATTTTAATAATCATTTCCTATTGGTAGACAAAAATATAATAAAAATTTACGTTAAAACTCAATTTTATATTGTTTTCATTATAGGTAGCAGAAATAGTGATGTAATCGCTTTACATTGTCTTCATATTAATTATATGTACGTAATTTCATCAGAAGAGACAAAATATAATAGAAATTTAGATTACAACTTGTCAACCTATTCCATTTTATAAAATGAATGTTTTGATACGCAATATGTTGGTACACATGACAACTTCCTTCTTGTTTGATTAGAAAAAAGTTGTTAAGAAATATCACAATAAAGGGTTGAAAAGAAAAGTAGCGGAAATAGAGCTGTAATCACATATAAAACGATGAAGGAGAAAACGATAATTAGCTTCTTAGAGTAAGTATAATCATAAGTAATAAATATATTAGTTTACTATAAAAAAATCATTGCTAATCTCTACAAATGTATTTGTTACGTCGATTTCATAATCATCGGGTTTCATGATAACCAACATTATATTACAGTCAACACTTTTATAATGCGATTCATTGGTATCACGATCTATCGAAACCTAATTCCTGTTATTTTTACAAATCAAATCTCCTTTTTACATCATTCAAATTAAAAATGTTAATTGTCCATTGTTTCTCTATATATTCGTCTACCAATATACTTTAGATAGATGTATTAACCCATTTTTGCACACTGTACCCAAGCATTTACATCATGTTTATTGATTTTTTGGCAATCTAGTGAGAAGTAGCTAAAACTTGTAGATGTGTATTTTAATATGTTGAATTATAAAAGTAAGACATCTTGATGAAAACTGTGACCGAAAAGGACTTTAGGGCAACATCTACCACTAGAGAGAATAGAATGTCGAAGTGTCAATCGTCAAATGTATTAGCAAAATAACTGAGAAGTACTTTTGATTTTCAATTTGATAAAATCAATGATTTTCTTGTGCATTCAAATATTATAACAAGAAAATGGGATCTAAGTGATCAGTCTGTGAACACTTATTGTATTGCTATGCATGGCAAGAAATTGTGGTTAGTACTTTTTACCTATATGTTGGACCTATCTATGAATAAATTTGTATTTGCAAATAAAATTAATGCTTTTTCATTGTTGGAGTTTGGCCAAAAATGGGTTAATTAATGCCATGAATTCATTTCCATCTAAGCTATAGATTTAAAAGTATCTTATCGAAATTGTTCTTAACCCATCATTGACATATAATGAAGCCATAGACGTTTCTAGTGAATTTTCTAATATTCACTTAAAATTAATTATTATTAAAGTTTTAAATGTTTAAAATAATATAGAACGGTTGAAGTGAAAGTTCTAAAGTTTAGTTTAGTAACTTTAGTTTAGTAAAACCTTTATCACCAGCAGTGATGAATCAGATTCGTCAGAAATTTTGGAAGAATTGAGGATGGGTAGATCCAAACATGAAGTCATAAAATGCTGAAGGAACTGTAATAAATCAACATAACAAGGTTAAACTAATCAAGTTGTATTATATAGAAACACCGTTATAGAAGGAATAATGCAATTTTTGTTCCGTTCTGTGGTTTACTGTTTTATTGCTTATATAAGTTGACAAATTAAACACATTTTGCATATATTTTAAGTTTTTTTTAGTCTAAATGAAAAGCTTTTAGTCCATTAACAAAATTATTCTTAATTAAAATGTATCACCTTAACTATTAATGGAATTTATTTTTATAATTATATTACAGTTATAAGTTGAAACATATTTTAAAATATAAAATTATCTTAAAATTTAATTAAAAAAAATATGTTTTAAAGTTTTAGTCGTTGAGCAGTGACATGAAATTATATAATTAGTAATCAATTTACAAATAAAGATATTCGAATTTAAGTAAAGCTTAATATATTTGTATACTTATTGATATTTGTTATAAGCTAAAATATCGATAAGCAATGAGGAAAGAGAAACGAGGTAATGAGCTTATTTATATGATAAATTAGTTAGTCTCAGTTGACAAGATAAACTTACCTAATTAATAAACATCTTTATATCAGATGAAAATAATGTTTATGCTGCAGGAACAAGAAGTTGTCTTATATAATTGTCATCCATTTAATAAGGCAAGATAAGAAAGAAGTTATGTTCAGAAGCAGAATATATGTAAAAACATGTTTATTATCTTTATTATATTATATAACTATACAAGATTACATAATATAATTAATTTATTATATTGTATAATTTAATGTTTCTAAAAACTTGCAACAAATATAAATACTAAATTGTAAAAATATTGATATCAAAAATGATTTTAAGCTAACAAATTTTATTGAGGTAATAAATTATAAAATGAATGATATAATTAAAATTTTATAAAATGAATGGTTAAACAAAATTTTAATTAAATTCTATAAACATTTCATTAGATTTACCTAGCAAATATATTGGTGTCACATGTTAATTTCGTAATGTTTTGTGCATGAAATCTCATATAAACTCTCTCAAAAACATATTATGAGGGATGCGGGACTAATTTCCATGGGGATTGTTCTTTTGTTGTTGTTGTCTTTACGCAAAATATTTGAGGGGGCTCGAGCTATTGTATTATTCTCTGAGAAAATCAGATCGTACACGTTTCTGTCATGCATACGTGACATCTGTACAATTTGAATCCATGTAACACAGAGCAAAAAAAAAATGCTTTGTTAATTAATATACAGATAATCTTACTGGAAACAATATTTTAATAAAATTGTAAATTGAACAATCTTGTAAAAGTGTAAGAAATATATTTTCTTAAAATAACATGGATTTTCTGCAAATACATTAGTATTTAATTGTCATCAGTTTGTAATTGAGATGCTCCCAATCTGATTTCCAGTATAAGCTAAGAAAGTCCCTAGATGTGATTAGAAAATAATCTTCACGGTTGTTAATTTAAGGAGGGGCAAAATCTGTCAGTGGTGATTTGTTATCAGTATGAAAGGTACTGCCATCGATTATTTCGTTAGGGTTTTAAATCGTTAACACCCCAACGAGTAATTATCGGATCTTATCTTCTGATCCAATATTTCGGTTAGTAAAGGCAACTTCTAAGAGGGAATATTATCTACGAAACATTGAAATTAAGATAAAACTGTAGTGTTTTACGTAAAATCTTATAATTCGGAATTTTCAATAAAGGCTTTCATTTTATACAAAAACTTATTTAAAGAAAACCGGTTTTCGAATCTCAACATTTAGAATTTTCACAAAAACTTATTTTCACTATTACTTATTTTTTTTTCTCACAAATTAAAACCTGAGAAAACAAAAAAAAATCGAGAATATTACATAAAACTATAACAAAATAAAATTTACTCCATGGAAAACTATATAGAAAAACAAATAACAATAAATTACTGTAAAATAATAATTTATTTATTTTTCTCAGAAGATGATGTTAATAACGAAAGAATGTCTACAGATCTTCGTCTATAGAAGAACGAAAAATTTAAAAACTTTATATGTTTCTTTAAATTATTTTTCTTTTGTTTCTTTCTTAGTGTTTTATGGAAGGACGAAGTAACTTTTTCAGGTTCTTGAAGATATGTATAAATTGATTTTTCTAGAGCAGTATCTAAAATTATTGTTAGGCAGTCAACAATACGACTTAATTCCTTCCTTTCATGAAATTTAGAATTTAACAATATTACCGTTTTATGCTAGAGTTTAAAAAATATTTAAGTTTTTAATCAAACAATTAGTTTATTTTTATATTTTAAATCTAGGTTCAAAAACCATTAAGTTTGGAAAAATTTGAATTATATAAATTTCTTCAAAATACCGGTTTTCAGAAACCGTGTTTTAAAAACTGGTATTTGGTTAAGGAAATGAGATAAAAATTCAAAATATTAGTATTATCTACACGGTACTCTAATTACACGCTTTTTCTCGGTAAAAAAATAAATGTTGAAAATAACCTATCCATCGTTTTACACCATAATTTCTTTGCACGTTTTCGCTTTTGCACGGGTTAAAAATAAATAAATTAAAAAATTAATATTCGATTTACACATTCAAACATGGTGTATAATAAGAAAAAAACAACAAAAAATCAACTACTAACTATTATTTATGCTTTATTTTTATACGTAAAATTTGATGTTCAAATTCAATGAGTCAATAAGTTTACTTTTTCAATTAAGTTTATTTAAGTTTAAGAAAAACAGCAAAATAATTCGTAATAATTAGTCTTTCTGTTGCAATGAGAACCTGAAAACTACAATTCCGAACGAGTCAATGATCTGACTAATTAAAATTCTATATTTAGAGGGGTGCACATCTTGATTTTTCCAGAAAGGATCGGCGCCGTCGCGTTTTCGTCTAGGAGAGATTCGGAGCCACCCGTTCAAATATGCGGCATAAGCGGAGAGGGATGAAGAGGTGAAGGAGACGCTGCGTTTGTCGTTGTTTTACAAATGCTAATT